ATCTCCACCGGTGCAAGGTGACCTCAATCCTGCCCTGGAGAACTCAGGTGCAGAGACTTGCACTCTGCTGAGGGAGTCTGGAATGCCCTGTTGTTCATTCCTGTCGCTCAAAGCTCTGACCCCAGAGAAGAGCCAGGGCCCTGGGATGGGTCACTCTCTAAGTTGTTGTCAGTCATAAACACCCTTGGTGTAGGCAGGTTTTAACATCACCATACCAGAATAACTGAGGCTATGGAAGCTTCTAGAAAACTTAAAAGGCAATCATGGACGCCAGGGAACTGAAACTTCCTCCACACATTTGCCACTTGCTCACCTTGCCCCTGGCTTTCTAATGCCACATCAGGATCTTACCTCTAGGTTGGCAGAGGGTGATGCCATCAGGGTGGAAACTCAGCAATACCTGAGATGCCTGGAGCTGTGCTTCTCTGACGGAGGCACGGACTCCCTGAAAGGGAGGTCCAGAGTGGGGAGGGATGTGGGAGTGATACAGGAGGGAGACAGGAAAGTGCTGGGTAGAGAAAGGCAGGGTCCCTGGCAAAGGCTCTACCCTCAGGCCTGTGCCCACTGACCTAGGTGAGAACAGGTATGTCTGTTTCTGTGCCCAAATGTTGCATTTCCAAGACCATCCTGGCCTGTCACACCCCCCATCCTGTGCCTATAAAAACCCTCAGACCCTAGTAGGCACAGACACAAGCAATTGGACATCAAGAGGAACTCAACAGCAGAAGAACACGCTGGCAGACACCAGCAGACACTGGCAGGCCATCTGTGACGGGACGACACAGAGTTCAGCCGAGGCCAGTCGGAGGAGGGCCTGTCCACTGGGCGGCCCGACTCAAGGGAAAGTCCACCTTCCCACTCCATCCTCCTTCTGGCCTCTCCATCCACCTCACTGAGAGCTATCACCACTTAACAAAAAACCTTGCACCCATCCCCAAGCCCACGCATGATCTAATTTTTCTGGCATGCTAAGGCAAGAACTCCAGGATACAGAAAGCCCTCTGTCCTTGTGATAAGGCAGAGGGTCTAATCGAGCTGATTAACATAAGCTGCCTGTGGACGGCTAAACTGAAAGAGCGCACTGTAACACACAGCCACTGGGACTTCAGGAGCTGTAAACACTCTACACTAGATGCTGCTGTGGGGTTGGAGCCCCACAACCTGCCTGCTACTCCCGCTAGAGGTTTGAGCAGCGGGGCACCAACGACGTGAGCCACAGCCCCCATCTCACACCCTGAGAGGGGGATGAAGGAATTGTTCCCATTTCAGGAGCAAGAGAGGGGTCTTGAAACATCAAATAAAATTTTTACTGTGGTCGATAAATCAAAATAATCTTTTAAAATTAAAACAAGCACAGAAGTTTTATAAGGGAGACACGATTTACATGGACTGTTAAAGTATGACAATTCATCACAACTTCTGGCTCACTGAGGGCCATTTCAGGCAGCGTCCAGACCCGCAGGACATACTTTTCTCTGTACTCAAGGGCTCTGGTATAGAATATTTTTGAGGCGCTGGCCTCCAGCCAGCCAACCCCAGAGGACTGTGAGTCTCCCAGCTCCCAGCAGAAGAAGGAAAGGAGGTAGCTTCTCAGAGCCATGGCCCTGCCCATCCCAATCTGCAAATTTCACTGAGGGATTCGAGGCAGGAACTTGGCACTGGCTCCACGGGAGAGACTCCAGGGCCAGCTGCAAGTTCTCCAGCACTTCACCACATCTAACCGCTGCAGGGTAATGCTCAAGGTGAGAGCACTCAGACAATGTAAGTGAAGTTTGGCTCGAGCAGACACCACCTGGAGCCCAAGGATGCCTGCTGCAACGCCTGGCCAACTTTCACCATGCCTTTGTATCTGTCAGGATAGTCTAGGTCAAGCTGTGAAACAAGCAACCCCCAAACTATGTTACAACAAAAAGTTTCATGTTCATGCTGTAAGGAGCTCATCATGGGCAGCTGGGGATTCCACTCAATGTCCCCTGCGTCCAGGATGCAGGCAAATACAGCACCCATCTCCTCAAATATTGCTGGGTTACCATAGTAGAGGGAAAGAAAAAACATCAGCCAGAACTTGTCACATGGTCCAAACCAGCCAGAAGAAACCAGGAAGTGCCATCCAGCCATGTTCCTCAAGGGAATCCAGCTAAAAATATTTAGTGGACAGCAACGATTACCACAATCTTTTTGAAAACTCCAAGCCTGAACTTTCAGGCTGTGTGCCTGGTCCCAGGGGAAAAGTTCAGGCGTAAGGGAGCAGCTGGAAAAGTAGAGGCCCATCTGTTCTGCTGTACCTGCTGAAGTATAGGAAGCACTCACAGGGGTGCGTGGATCGGTAGCCCCTACATCTACACAGTCTGCACGCAGTCTGAACCACACACTTCCTGCCTCCCTGATGCCCTGAGTTGACATGTGGTCTCATATTCTCCAGCCCTTCCAGGCTCCTTCTGGGTGTGTTGAAGATGCTTTACGATTTTTTTTCTGGGACTACTCAGCAGGAAGGTGGAGTCTGTAGGGGCTGCAGAAGTATTAGAGCAGAGGAGGGGGATGATGCTCTGGACCACAGTTTATCACACCACACAGAGCAATCAATGAAGACTTGTACTAAATAATTACTTTATATTGCCTAAACCTGCCCGGTATTAAGCACTGCAGGAAAGACAAGAGAAATAAGATATAGTCCCTGCTCTCAGGGAACTTATAATTCAAGAGGTGAGTCAGGACACTATTCGCTTGTATTGTAATTTTTTTCTCAATGCCAAAACAATGGCACCGATAATAAAAATTATTAGAGTAGTTTGCTGCAGGCGTGATTAGCATGGAGAGACTTAATTGGAAGAATTAGGGCATATGCTGGTCTGGAAAAGGTGTGAGAACTTTGGGTGGGCAAGAGGAGAGGGGAAAAGCATGAGGAAAGGCACAGGAGTGGAAACTCTCATGCCAGCTTTTGACACCTGTGTCCAAAATGGAGCAAAAGGCTTTGGAAGCCTCATTTATCAATCCAAGGAGGTTTATCTTCATTCTTTTTGCAAATAGAGGCAGGAAGACCAGCACCAGAAATGCTTTGCAATAGATCCCTGTCTTCAGTGGAGGACAGAGCAAGTCATCATTACCCTAACTTGGCTGTCCGCAGAGCCCCACTTTCACCCTTACCTCGACCCCTACAAGGAACTTGTTAAAAAGAGACCTTCTTTTAAAATAAGTTTTCTCCACAATACTCAGGACCCATTCCAAAGACATTCTGATTCAGTAGATATGAGATGGGATCCAGAAATCCATATCCTTCACAAGCTTCCCCAGAGACTAATGCAGCTGCTCTGAGAGTCAGGCTTGGAAATTACTACCTAGAGATGGCCCTGGCATATCCGACTCAGGCTGTCAAAAGTGGACTTTTTAAATTGCACACTAAAAATGTCCTGTCTCTTATTTCTAATCACTGTATTTCTATTGCAGGTGCACTCTGCAACAGAATAAAACAGTTGGGTCCATTTGACCCAATGCCTTAGGGCTGTCCTGGAATTCTTTTTTTTTTCTTTTCTTTTCTTTTTTTCAAGACAGTGTCTTGCTCTGTCGCCCAGGCTGGAGTGCAGTGGTGTGATCTCCGCTCACTGCAACCTCTGCCTCCCGGGTTCAAGCGATTCTCGTTCGTCAGCCTCCCCAGTAGTTGGGATTACAGGTGCGTGCCACCACGCCTTGCTAATTTTTTCTATTTTTAGTAGAGACAGGGTTTCGCCCTGTTGCCCAGGATGGTCTCAAACTCCTGAGCTCAGGCAATCCGCCCACCTTGGCCTCCCAACGTGTTAGAATTACAGGCGTGAGCCACCGCGTCCGGGCCTAAAATGCTGTATATCTTCCTGCCTCAATTTTTTTTTTAGGCTGTCATCCAGCTCACACCTCTACTACCACCCTGTGGTCTGAAATGCTCTCTGCCAATTCTTCAAGATCCAGCTCAAATTTTATCTGTTCTGTAAGGTCTGCCTTCTTTGAAAACGATTACAGATCTCTCACATATTTTCTTATCAGTGTGTACTAGGCAGTTGGCTAGTTAGTCTTGGGGAATACACAGACGAGCAAGTCGTGTTCCTGAAAGGCAATGCGCCTCTGAAACTACGTAGGGGCCCGTCCAAGACGCCCTCCTTCCCCTGCTCTGGTTGGCCTCTTTAAGAACATTTAAATTTTTATTTTTCTCTCCTTGTTTAAAAATACTATCCTTGTTATGGAAAAACAAAAACATGAATTGGAAAAAATCAGAAAAGACATAAAAACGGCCTGTGATCTATTAAAAGAAAGCTACTGAGGCCATGTTGATATATATGCTTCCAAACTTTTCAAAACTATAATTACACATGTACACAGTATATAACGCTACATATGTCCTATATTGTTTTAAAATGTTATTTTTAAAACAAAGACAGGATCGTCCCGGACAGGCTTTTTCTCTTATAACATCATGAACATCTGTCCCTACCAAGACCTTCACCGAAATAATTTTAAATGATGCTATTGCGTTCCACTGCTCATGCCACTGAAAAATATTTACTGTAAAAAACCCATTACAGAAAATGCTAGGTGGCTGCCTACCGGGGTTTACCGAACTATATTCCTGCTGTTGAAAGTATTTATTCCATTTCAAACACAGATGGGCATGAGCTACATCTGTCTCCCCCCAAATAGCCCAAACCTCCAGACCCAGGACCTCTGGCAGCAGAAGTGTCCCTGGGGCGGGGTAAGGGGAGCCGGGCCTCCCGGGCCGAGGGGGCCGCCCTGCCCGGAAGCCCGTGCTCGCCCGCGGGCGCGGCCAGGCGGGTCCCACGAGGGGGACCCTTTCGGTAACCGAATTCTCGGGCTGGGCCGCGGGGCCAGTGCAGTGACTCCCCCCGCGCTCCGCAGTCCGGCCGGGGTCGCGGGGTCGGCCAGGGTCGCTAGGTCCTCCCGTCGGGCCCCGCGGGCGGGGCTGGGCGGGGCGGGGCGGGGCGGGGCCGCGGGCAGGCGGGCGCCGCGCCTGCCGTTCGCCTCTCGGGCTGCAGGTGGGGCTGTGCGGCCGCGCTGCCTCCAGGAAGCCTCACGGGCCTTCGTCGGCCGGGCCGCGGCGCCGGCTCCCAGGATGCAGTGTGGACCGGCCGGGCGCTGACGGAGGCGGCGCGACTGCGGGCAGCGCGGCGCGGCGCAGGGGCAGCCAGCGAGGAGCGGCGACAGAGGCAAGGCCAGGCAGGCGCCGCCTGCGGAGAGCACCGGGCGGCCGGGCCTGCGTGGTGCCGCGCGGCGGCGGCGACGACTTCCTCCGGGCCCGGGCGGGACAGCGCAGGGCCATGGCCGAGGCGGTCGCGGCTCCGGTAAGGGCGACCCGCGCGCGCACGGACTCGCGGCCTGGGGCCCCGGGCGGCCCGGGCCCGGCACACGGCGCCGCAGGCCTTGGGGAGGGGTTCCGGGGTCCGGACCGGACCACTGGGCCTGGGGCTCCCGCGAATGGGGCGCGGGGTCCGCCGGGGCCTACTGCGCCCGTCGGCCGGGTCCCCACTATGAGCGGAGCCCGAGCGCTGGCGGAACGGTTGTCCCCGCGCCGGGGCCGCCGCACGCCAAGTTCTTTGGGCCCTCCGGGGCTTCCTGCCCCCGCCCCAGCCGCTGTCCCCTCCTTCTGGGTACCCCCCCCCCACCCGCGGCTCCTTTCTCTGCCTGGCGCTCGGCCTGTAGGTCCCTTTCCATCTCCCCCGCAGCGGCCTGGTGGCACCTGGGAGGTGTCCGGCTTCGAATCCGCATACACCAACACCCACTACGTGCGCAGCTCCCCGGGGTCGGCTCGGAAGGGAATATAGAGCCAGGCACTTGAACAAGCCCTGTTGAGGCGTTAGTCTGTCCTCACAGCAAGCCTGTCGGGTGGGTACTGGTGTTAATCTCTGTCATACAAAAGAAAAACCCGGGGCCTAGAGAAGTTAACTTGCCCAGGATTACCCAGCTGCAAAGTGTGAAAAAAGACACACAGTGGCTCCGTGTATTCAAGGACCAAGCAGACAGGTACGTAGGCAATAATCGTGCAAAACAGAAAGGGGTGAGTGCTGGCGCCCAGGTGGAAGCTTGCGGTGGGCTCCCGGGGAAGGAGTGTCAGGGGGCCGCCTGGTACCGCTGTCCACCCCTCCTGGCCTGATGCTCTGTGCCTCTGTGATTTGACCCGGATTTTAGGGAAGGCTAGGATTTCAGGCCCAGCTAGACCCGTGGTGCTTTCAGGGAGGGAGGAGTGCCTGGGCAAAGGCGCAGAGAGACGGGACAGTGCAGGGCGTGTTGAGGAACAGAAAGGAGTCCATGAGCCTGGAGAAGATGGTTTTGGTTTGAGGCAGTGGGAAAGGAGTCTGCAGAGAGAGACTAGGAAGGGGCCTGCATGGCTGGACTTCATCCTGCGGGTGGGCAGTGGGTGAGGGATCCCGCTCCTCTTACCATCAGCTGACCTCTCAAGCAAAGAATTTCGGCTTCCTGGCAGGAGTCTAAGGACAGCCCCACATATTCCAGCCACCAGACAGTAAGAATCTGGGCTGGAGTGAGCAGCGCACAGTCGCCACCTCCCACCACATAATGTGAGGGCCTTACAGAGGGTTTCCTGGCCCCATCAGAATTGTAAGAAAACCGTGCACCTTGTTGTCCATCTGTAAAAGACTAATATTTTCTTAATAAAGTAGTTTATGTGGAGATCCCTTTCATGCCACACAAAGACCGTAATAATGCACGTGGAGGATGGGGAGGATTTCAGTGGATGGGGAGCTGGTGACCAGTTGAAAGGAAGCTTCTGGAGTAAACTCTTGGCTTTGGGATCACGTGACAGGGATTGATCTGAGAAAGGAGAGGTGAGGGAAGGAACAGTGGCCTTAGGTGGAGGGTGGACTCAAGCCCAGAACCAAGCCAGCCCACCCAGGTGCTGCGGGACCACCTACTACTTGAGAGCAAGACTCCCACCCACACTGGGGTTTTCGCCTAGAAACAGTTCAGCTTGTCCAGAACCTCCCAGCCTTGAAGACCCTTTAGAGTCCTACCTTGTTTGCGTCCTGCTTCCCTCCAAATAGTCTCTTCAGCACTGTCCTAGGCAAGTTTTTTTCTGCCTCTGCTCAAACTCTCCTTTTGTCTCTGTTTTTTGAGGTGTCCATCCACGTTCTAGTTCTCAGTGACTTTCTCTAAGTGAATCCACACTGGTTTCTAGTAGCCACTTTTTCATTTTGGAAATAGTCACCGACCTTTGTTGAGGAATTATTTTGCAGAATGTTGTAAGGAGGCGTTGATCCTCGTTGATCTCAGGTCCCGATACCAGGAGCGCCTCTCTGCCCTGTAGGTCCCACATTCAGATGTAGGTGTCTCAAACAGTCCAGCTCCCTACCCAAGGCAAAATGTGCCCATTCTTCCTTTTCCCACCTGTCGGTCACTGATACACCATGTGCACATTTCCAATGACAGGGAAGCCCCTCATCTCTAATTAAGATGGTTGCTGCCCATATACAAGTCTAACTTTGTGGCATATGTCCATTTTCCTCACCAGGCTGCAGGGTATGTCACTGTTCCTGGTACAGCTACAAAAATGTCGGAGGCCATCGTTTTTACCTTGAGCGGGTGGGACTTGGGAAAGAGAAAGAATCTTGTATGGCTCATGCAGTGTCAAAAAACTCTGGACTGATGGAGATTTGATGTCATGGGGATTTTAGCTTGTGGGGGAGGGGCAGATGGGAAGGTGACAAAATGAGACTGTCCTGGGGGAAGAGGAACTGGCCATTATATTTTTATGTTTATTAAAAGAGGACATGAGATGCTTTAAAAAAAAAAAAGAAAGAAAGAAAGAAAGAAATTGAGCAATACTTTTGTTTGTGCCGTTTCAGTGAACCAGCTGTTTTTTTTGCTGGGTCATCATCAGTAGACAGTTCCTGTGTAATCATGAGGGGAGGTGCAGGCTGAGCTCTAGTAAATCTGCAGTTTACCATTTCTCCACTAAAATGCCCAGCAATGCTAAGTCACTGTTTACACAGCAAAATTGCACTGGGTACCTGCCATGTGTCAAGGACTGTGGTATGAAAAGATGCAATACCATGTTCAGGGAGCCCACAGTATAGGCGTGGGTAGGAAATTACTGTGTAGGGGGGTAAGCACCGTGAGAAGGGTCTGCATTGTGCTGCAGAGGCCTGGAGTAAAGGCACCCACCCAGACATAGACCTAACATACCCAAACAGGTGATTGCCAGCCTGAGATCTGGCATGTGGTACGGGATAGCCCCACTTGTCCACACATATTAGTGAGAGAGGGGCTCAGTGAAGTCAGTGGGTGGAATGAATGACGCCGGTTTCTCTTTTGTTTCTCAAAGATTTCTCCGTGGACGATGGCAGCCACGATTCAGGCCATGGAGAGGAAGATTGAATCGCAGGCTGCTCGCCTGCTTTCCCTAGAAGGTCGAACTGGGATGGCTGAGAAGAAGCTGGCCGATTGTGAGAAGACAGCTGTGGAGTTCGGGAACCAGCTGGAGGGCAAGTGGGCCGTGCTGGGGACCCTGCTGCAGGAGTACGGGCTGCTGCAGAGGCGGCTGGAGAATGTGGAGAACCTGCTGCGCAACAGGAACTTCTGGATCCTGCGGCTGCCCCCGGGCAGCAAGGGGGAGTCCCCGAAGGTAGCCCTGGGATTCCTTGGGGTTGGGGAGATCAAGTGGCCAAACCCGTGAGCGTGTGGGTGAGCGAGTGTGACACTTGTGGTTCTAGGTGCCCGTGACGTTTGATGATGTGGCCGTGTATTTCTCCGAGCAGGAGTGGGGCAAGCTGGAGGACTGGCAGAAGGAGCTCTACAAGCATGTGATGAGGGGCAACTACGAGACACTGGTCTCCCTGGGTAAGACCTGACACTCATTTCTCTGTTAAATAGGATTTTGCAAGTCCTCAAACTTCTCCTTCCACATAGTTGTTTTCATGACAGTGATATGTAAATCACCAAAAACACTGTTGACTTTGCAAGTTGTTATCTTTTGTGAAAGATGAGCCCTGGGTGATGGAGTTAAAAGCTCCCTTCTCCTTGTGTTGAGTTTCCCAGAATGCCAGGCTGGGAAAGGCGGTGGCTTCTCTCCTACGCAGGCCCAGGGTGTGGACCTTTCTGTTCTTGCTGACTTGGAGCAGGAAGGCCCCTTCTGCTCTCAGATCCAGTATGTAATTGACTCACATTAGAGAAAGACTCTTTCTTTCAGTCTTCTCCTACAAACATGCATGGCCCTTATGGCAACTTGCCTGGAGGTCAGTGGAGAACATGGGCAGACGGTGCTGCTTGCGGCAGACATTGTCTTCACGCCTCAGAACGTTGCTTCCCTCAGCCTGTGGGGCTACTGCTGCTCTCCTTGTTTGATCTTGCCCAGGAAGGGCCCAGACTGTTTCTTCCTGGGCTGATTTCCTCTTCCCGATGGTTTCTGTGTGACCCTGGAGCCGAGGGCAGCGAGGCCTATTAGAGAGGACAGGAGCAGGTGCAGATGTGAGGTTATGTTTCGTCAGCACAAGTGCACTGCTGTGTAACATGCGTGCTCTGCAGCAGTTTCTTCACCCCAGCACTGTTGACATTTTGGGACCAGGTGATTCTGTGTGTTGGGGGCCATCCTCTGTATTGTAGGATGTTCAGCAGCAGCCCTGGCTTCTACCTTCCAGATGTCAATCACCTTTCCCCCAGCCCTGGGCACGACAACCAGAATTGTCTCCAGACTTTGCCAAATGTCCCCTGGGGAGCAAAATTGCCTGCAGTTGGAAGCTCCTGCTCTGTGACAATCAAGAGATTTCGTTTCTAGACCATTGTTGGTTTTCCGGGCTGACTGTTCCCAGCTCTGACTGGAACATGGCAAAAACTAACCTTCTGTCTTTCCTCAGACTACGCCATCTCCAAGCCCGAGGTCCTCTCCCAGATTGAACAAGGGAAGGAGCCCTGCCACTGGCGCCGCCCTGGCCCCAAGATTCCGGATGTTCCTGTGGACCCGAGTCCAGGTAAGGGCTGGGAGAAGGCCAGGGAGGCCTCAGGTGATATGCGGGAAACAGAGATGGGAAGGCCAGAAAGGGTGTGATCTTTCCAGAGAAAGCTGAGGAGAAACAGGAAACTTACAGGTTTTATGTCTGAGTTTTTTATAGTTGAATTTTAATCTCTAACTTATTCAGCTAATGCTCCAGAAATGAACACTTTCTATCAGGGAAACAGGTGGCAAACCTAATCTTTTAGGAAGAGACAAAGGCAGGGAACAGAATGAGGGGAGGGAGAGGAGGACACCGAGAGGGAAGGCAGGAGCATAGTTGACCCTTGAACAACGCAGGGGCCAGGGGCAACAGCCCCCGGTCCCACGCAGCCAAAAATCTACGTATAACTTTTGACTCTCCAAAAAGTTTGCTGATAGTCTCCTATTGACCAGAAGCCTTATTGATAATACAAACAGTCAATAACACATATTCTGTATGTTCTATGTGTTACATAGTGTATACTTACAATAAGCTAGGGAAAAGAAAATGTTTCTAGGAAGATCATAAGGAAAAGAAAATAGGCTGGGCGTGGTGGCTCACACCTGTGATCCCAGCACTTTAGGAGGCCAAGGCAGGCAGATCACGAGGTGAGGAGATCGAGACCATCCTGGCTAACACGGTGAAACCCCATCTCTACTAAATATACAAAAAATTAGCTGGGTATGGTGGCGGGTGCCTATAGTCCCAGCTGCTCGGGAGGCTGAGGCAGAAAGAGTGGCGTGAACACAGGAGGCGGAGCTTGCAGTGAGCCGAGATTGTGCCACTGCACTCCAGCCTGGGCAACAGAGCAAGACTCTGTCTCAAAAAAAAAAAAAGATATTTACTACTCATTAAGTGGAAGTGAGTCATCATAAAGGTCATCCTCATTGTCATCTTCAGATTGAGTAGACTGAAGGAAGAGGAGGGGTTGGTCTTGCTGTCTCAGGCGTGGCAGAGGCAGAAGAAAATCCATTTAGAAGTGGGCCTGCATAGTTCAAACCCATGTTGTTCAAGGTCAGCTGTATATTGACAACAAAATTAATTGAAAGCTTTGCAAAGAGTCAGCCTTGCCTCCAAGAACCAACCTTAATTTAAACCCATAGCAGTTGTAGAACATACACCCATTGGTCAGCCTTATGGTTTGGTATGATTAGAAGCACACATTTATTTAAGGTGAATCTGGTTACCAGATATCAGTGTCTCAGATTTCCCTGGAGCCAGTCAGCACCTTTGAAAGTTAAGGGAAGGACAGGTGGACACAGGAGAAAAACCAAATTCCTAAAGTGAAGACCTGCTGGGTCATTTGACCACGGAGACCACATCTCTGCAAGGCTCAACCCCTGATTCCTCCAGAAGACCCGCCCTTGACCGTCCCACCTGCCTTGGTTTTCGCTTTCGCCTGACACTTAAAAAGGTGGTGTTCCGCAGAGGCCCTCCTGTGCTCCACTTGTGTGAAATTAAATGCCTCCCCCATGTTCATCATCTCATCTCAGTCAGATTTGCACTTTCCTAAGGGTAGAAGCATGTTCCGAGCTGGGCGCTTTGCTAGTCGTCATCAGGACATTGACAGTTTAGTTCTACAGATGTATTTTGAGAATTTTCTAGGTGTCAAGGACAGTGCTGAATGCTAGAGGACAGAAAGACGGCTGAGAACACATACTATTGGGCTGGAAAAGAGGGTTACGACCCATGCACGTCCAGCTTCCTAGCCTGGGTGGGAGGTTCTGGGTAGGTGGGTTTCGTTGTATTTACACCGTGTGTGGAGGCTTCCCTCACTTCCACAGCATCATTAAACGAGAATAAAGAGGGGCCTCAAAATATGCTGGTTACTGGTAAGACCCTGTAACACTCTCTAGCTGCATCGTATGATACTCAGCAGCTCTACCTGAATGGTGGCCTCTACCCACCATTAGACAAGATGAGTAGACACAAACTCCACTGTCCACCTTGAGCCTGTTGGCAGGGATTCTGTGTGGCCTTTATCTCTCTCCCCTTTGTCTGAGAAGCCAGGACTCCCAGCTCATCCCTTGCCACATTTGGCCTTGCCCATCCCTTGTGAGACCTCACCTCCCCTTCTCACCTCCTGTACATCCCCCCACTGAGCCTTGTGGGACTCAGGGCTCAGCAGACCCACCAGGTCCTGAGTGCTCCCTGCTCGGACTGAGCTCCAGGGGACTGCAGCCCTCTGAGTGCTTGTCATCCTCTTCCCTGCCTCCCTCTAAGCCCAGGCCCACCGGGGACAGGGTCCTGACCCCTCAGATTGTGCCTCTGCCAGCCTCAATCCCTCTCTAGAGACCCTGCCTTTGGGTCTCAGGCCTCGTCTTTTTGCTGCTTCTGCAGACCTTCCCTCTTTTCTTGTCACTCTTCCTGCCCTCAGTCTTGGCCATGGCAGCCTCCATGCGGATGGTCCTGTGTCCCCTCCACCCATCCCACAGCCATCTGTGACTGTGATGACAATGACTGCACCACACCCACCATCTCCATCTCCAGCACACCACTCCCCAGCCGCCTCCTGCCGTCCCTTCAATTCCCTGTCTGGTGTCCTGATTCCAGCAATTTCCAGTCCTTCAAGACCTGCAAGCCACCAACCCTGCTGCCTTTTTACTGCCCTAGTTCATCCTCATTTCCCTCCATGCCCACCACTGTGGTTCCCCATTGCACACAGCCTCAGCGCTCTTACCCCTGTTTTGGTCATTGTATCCACCTGTGAAATCCACTGGTGTTCTGCACCTGCAGCCAAACAGCTGCACCTGACTGCAGAGAACCAGGTAAGCTGGCTGCTGGTGTCACATGACATTCACGACCAGCGACTTCAGTGGGTGCTCTGCAACACAGTCACACTGTGTCTCCTTAGCCCAGGGGCCAGCAAACTGTGGCTGAGGGCCAAACCTAGCTCATCTGTTTGTGTATGGTGCACAACTGAGAATAGTTTTATATTTTAACCCTTTTTTTTAAAGAGAAACATACCACTCGCACAGCCCTCCCCACGCCATCTGCCTGCACCTGTGCCCCCTTCTCTGCCTTCACTCCTGTGACTGCTAAACTGTCAGCCCTCCAGCCAAAGCCCTCCTTCAATCTGGCGCCAGATCCCACCTCATGCCACCTTCTCAAGGGCAACACAAGCAATCCTGCCTTGACCTCTACCCCTGCAGCCCCTGCCCGCTTCTCTGCTTCCCTTTGTGGCAGAGCCCCTTGGGGACATCTGCGCTTGCTGTCTCCTGCCCCTTCCCTCCCACTCTGTTACCTCTTCCACCAAAACCTCTCCAACCTTGGTTATCAGGGCCCTCCATGGTGCTGAAAGGTCTGTCTTCTTACTTGGCCTTGTCCCCTCTGCTCTGCCACCTAGGTCCATTATCTCCTGCTGAGGTTGTCACCATCCCCTTTCCTCCTGCTCTGATCCCCCTGAGTCTCGTCTCAGCCCAGCAGAGTGATCCCTTTTAGACCCAAGTCGGACCCAAGTCCTGGCTTTCCATCTGACCTGCACCGTCAGCTCACCTCCTCCACTTTTCTCTAATTCTGCCCAGCTGCACCATCCACGTTGCTGTCCCCTCTGCCCTGTGCCAGGGCCTTCGCAGTGCCCTCTACTGGGAGTGCTCTTTAGGCAGGTCCCACCTGCAGGCCTTTCCTGTCATCGGTACTGCAACCCCTCCCCACCCAGGACTCCAGGCCTCCTTTCCTGCTTTGGGTCTTCCGTGTCACACAGCGTCACGTCATATATATGTTTCCTATTTATACATTCATCATATGTCAGGTCTCCATTAGAATGTCAATTTCAAAAGTAGAAAAATTTGTATCTGTTTAATCATTCTAGGACCCTAGAATATTGCCTAGTACAGAGTAGGAATTCAGTAACTATTTGCTGAATGTATGCTGTTTCAAAATTTAAAACGTGTGTGTGTGTGGTGTGTGTGTGTGAAATAATGTATTTCCGATACCATTTAAATCCCTTTTTAGGTCCCCCAGGCCTCCCTAGGGCAACCCTTTGTCCTGAATTTTCTGTGTTTATTCTTCCTATCCACATTTTGAAACGTCTGCTGTGTACTTTGGTAGCTGTAAACAATATATAGTATGGTTTTTTTGTGTTCTGAAAAATTACATAGATGTTGTTATATTTATCACTCATTTATTCTGTATTTCAGACGTATCCATGTTGATACATGTAGATCAAGTTCATTCCTTTTAACAGATGGTTAATATTCCAGAAGCAAGTATATTGTAATTTATTTTCCATTCCTCCACTGATTGGCACTTAAACTTTTTCTGATTGTTCACTCACAAGCAATACTGTAGTGAGCGTTCTTGCGCCTGTTTCTTTGTGCCCCTGTGGGGATGCTACTCCAGGAAACAGATCCAGCAGTGGCCTTACCACGTCATAGGCTTGATTTCACCTTTTCCGCTACTGTATCGCCCTCCCCGGGGTACCCAGTGCCAACAGGTGCTCCTAGAACTTGCTTCCTAACATCTTTGCCCAGTTTCCATAATTACATTTTTGCCAACCTGATGGGGGTGAGATGGCCTCTCGTTTCAACTTGTATTTTCCCTACTGTTAGTGAGTATGTGCACCCTTTTTATATGATTATTTGGCTGCTTCTCCAGTGAATTGTCTTTTCTTTTTCTGTTGAGATGTTCTTCATTTTCTTATTGATTCAGGGCTTCTTTGTATGTGTTCTAGATACGAATCCTTTGTCTATTATTTGCATTACAAACATTTTCTCCGTGTCGGTGGTAGGTCTTTTAACGTTATAGTTCTTGTATGCAAGTTTTCACTGTTGAAAGAGTCAAACATGTCAGTCTTTTCCTTTATGATCTGTGCTTTTTCTGTAGTAAGAGATCCTTGCTTACCTCACTCAAGGTCAGAAAGATATTCTCTCTTTTTTTATAAATTTTTAAAAGTTTTGCTTTTCAAATTTAAGTTTTTAATTTATCTAGAATTAAAATGTGCGTAGCTTGCAAGGAAGGGTTTCAGTTTTTCCTCCGACAACGATGGTCTGATTTTC